CAGTGAATTTCAAGTATTTGAATCCTTCATTTCTTTAGTATTGACACCCCCAACCAAGTAGGGTGTTCTCACTTTTTCTCTTATTCTTATTTGGGATATCATTCTCTGTCCTACACCATTTGGCACACGGCTCCATTGAGAAGCACGTTTTGCTTGTCCTTCTTAGAGTGTGGGATGCCATACATGTGGTAGTTAGTTGTATATTATACATGATAAACCTGTCAGATGTATAGCTGGTAAAGGTTTTTTCCCCCATCTTATAGGCTGTCTACTTATTTGAATGGTGAAAGGCTCTTTGGCTGTACAGGAACCTTTTAGTTGGTGAGGTCCCGTTTGTCCATTGTTGGCCTTAGTGCCTGTATTCCTGGGGTCCAGTTCAGAGAGAACTTTGCTGTGCTCACAAGTTGAGGTACATCTCCAACCTCCTATCCTAGGAGTTCTCAACCTGTGGGTTGCAACTCTCAAAAAACCCACATTTACATTGTGGTTCATAGCAGTAGCAAAATTACAGTTCTGAAGCAGCAACGAAAATAATTTTATGGTGCAGGGGGTCCCCACAAAGCGAGGAACTGTATTAAAGAGTGCATTGGGAAGGTGGAGAACCCCTGTTTTATCAGATTCACACCAGCTCTTATGCTGAGGTCCTTGATTTATTTGGAGTTGAGTTTTGTGCAGGATACGAGATAAGGGTCTTTCATTCTTCTACAGGGAGCTGTCCAGCTTGGCTAGCATCACTTATTGAAGAGGTTGTTATTTCTCCAGGGTGTATTTTTAGCTTCTTTCTGAAAACTCCACAAAAACAAAAAATTCAAAACAAAACAACAAACAACCAAACAAACCCAAATCAAGTGGTGGAAGGGGCATGGGCTTTTGATCTGGACCCTCGGATCACTGTGCCTGCTTTTATAAGGATACCATGCTGTTTTGTTACTGTAGCTCTGCAGTGTAATTTGAAATGTGGGATGGTGAGATCTCCTGCAGTACTTTTATTGCTTACCATTGTTTTGTTTATCTTGAGTCTCTTATGTTTCCCTATGAATTTTAAGACTTTTTTTTTAATTCCTGTAAAGAGTTGTCTTGCAATTTTGGTGGGGATCGCATTATAAATTAATTTAAATTTAATGTATAGGTTGCTTTTGGTCGTCTGCTTCTCCTAATTGGGGAATTGAAACTCTTAGCGTTAAAGACTTATTATCAGATGATTTATATTAATTACTGCTGTTTTTATTGCTTTGGGTTTTTTTTTAGGCCTCTTTTCTTCAGAAGTGTTTATTCCCTGTAAACTCCTGGGCTTGTTTGTCCTTGCTGTCAGACTGGAGGCTTGTTTCTGATATTCTCCTTAAAGCTGCCTTTGTGTTAAAAAATTTCACTAATATATTTTTATCATGGAAGCTTTTATTTATTTTTTTATTAAGAAGTCCCATTATGTAGGCCTAGCTCACTCTGCACTTGTTATGTAGACCAGGCTATCCTTGAAACCATGGAGATATGCTCTGCCTCTCAATTGCTGAGATTAAATGTGTGTGTCACGGTGCCTACCTCACCTGGATGGGCTCTCTTCTCCTCCTCTCCTCCCCTCCCCTCCCCTCTCCTTCCCTCCCCTCCCCTCCCCTCCCCTCCCC